GCTTCTAACGCCACTGCTCCGACACCGACCCGGGTCCCATTGACCTTGGCGAGCACCATCGGCTCGGCGCTTGACGGCGCGTCGATCCCGTCGCGGTACAAGGGCACCGTCATCCTTGTCTCCGATAATGTCGATGGCACGGCCGTGCTTCACTCGGCGGATGCCAAGTGGGACTCGGCTGCGGTCATCGGTACCGTCCCCAATGCATACCTGGCTGAGGGTGGCTCGACTACGGCGACGGTGCAGATTGGTGGCAGTGTGTACTCGGTGACTGAGTGGTTCGGCGACGACAAGGTTGCGGGCACACTGGCCGGAAACCGTACGGAGTGGCCGCTGGTTGACATCACCGCCGACATTGACGCGTTCCTGGCAGCTCAGTGAGTGAAACCTCAACGTTCTGTTCCCGCGTCCTGTCTGAGGCGAACCCTACAGATGATGTAATTATCCCAAATAAGGACAACTTGTGTTCAATGTAAATATTGTATCCATTGTTATCTTTCTCTTAACCGGCGTCCTTCAAGATTGTGATCTTTGCCGATGCCTTTCCACTCAAGGCCGTGGCTCATGCCTTTGCAGTGACATTGACGCGAAATTTGCGACAAGAGAGCGGACCTTTCCCGACGGGCTGAAGCACGCCATCTTGAATATGGTCCCGTGGTTGGAACAATCTCGCGTCATCTTCCCGGCTGCAGATTGCCCTTGCCAAAAACCAACATCACTGATAACCGACGATCGCTAAGGTTGTCAAGTAAGGCATAGACGATAAAGTCTGGCTGTAAATGTCAGCAATGATTGATTTTGAATGATTAGCAGACATGCCTGACCATGAGCTGACGATGCCCTGGACTGAAGTCTGGCCACTCATCGCGCGATGTCGCCATGAGACCCGCTGAAGGCGACACTGGATTCGAACCCCAACCTACCGGTCCCCAGAGTAGGAGCCCATGAATGTGGCTATTGGCGTGACAGATAAGATCAGTGCTCAGTCTCGATCAACAGGCAAATGTCTCCATCAGGCGCAGTGCGTACACGTCCAAGGCTGTTGCAATCATGTCACTGCCTCAAGAAAAAGACGTGAAGAACGTTTCCGTCGTCCGGCATAGCAACGAAGAATCGCCAGTTCGTTCCAAGGACTCCGATCATGACACCACCAATGGCGCAAATTATACGGAGTCCAAGAGGACATGGAAGTCCTTCTTCTGGTCAAGTACGTCTCTCAACCAGATATCTTCTCATGTATCATCGTGCTGATCATTGCAGCCCTGGATGTCCCTAAAGAGGAGGCCAGATTTCTCACCAAGCTCGACTTGACGCTCATCTCTTCCTCTGCTCTGGGAGTGATGTGTCGCTACTTGGACCAAGTCAACATCACCAACGCGTTCAGTATGTGCAACAGTCAGAACTAGTCATGCGAAACGATAAGCTAAGACACCAATCAGATAGCGGTATGAAAGAAGACCTCGCACTCTATGGAAAAGAGCTCAACTACGCCAACGCTATCTGGAGTGCGGCCTATGTGTTTGGTCAAATTCCATCCAACTTGCTTCTCACCCGTGTAAGCAATCCTCAGAGCACCCGTAGATGACCACAATGACTAACGAGGGGCTTGCAGGTCAATGCGCCTCTTTACATCGCCTTCCTTGAGTTATCATGGACCGTCTTCACCTTCGCTACCGCTGGTGTCAAGGATGTCAACCAGCTCTATGTCTTCCGCTTCTTGTAAGCTGAACCCCTCATTTCTAACTCTAATTGTTTGCAAAGCTCACTATCGTACTCTTTTCTCAGCGTTGGTCTGTTTGAAGCGGGCCATTTCCCTGCGGTTATGTATGTCTGCTCAAGCTACTACAAACCTCATGAGCTAGCTCGGCGAAACACCTTGATCCAAGTTTTCACTTCTGTTGGGCCCCTCTTCTCGGGATTCCTGATGGCTGCTGTCTATGCCGGACTAGATGGAGTCAGCGGTCTGCCTGGTTGGAGATGGATGTACATGTGAGTTCTCCAACTAAACCGATGTTGCGGACCCACGAAGGTGGCGGCGAAGCTGACAACCTCTCAGCGTGTGCGGTTGCATTTCCTTTCCTTGTGCCGTGTGGACAGCCTTTGCGATGCCTCAGCTACCGGCCCGTGCGAAGCCAAATTGGTTCGTATCTGCGTCCTCCCCGGCCATGAAGGAAAAGTTCTCACACCTTGTAGGATATTCACCGAGAAGGAGGTCGCGTTAGCTCGTGCCAGAATGCCCAGCGAGGTTCGGCCAATGACTGGACTTTTCAAATGGAAGGACGTCAAACGATGGCATACCACCTGGCACGTCTATCTATGTAGGAGCACTCAGTTCATTCGTGAAAGTCTCATCCGCTGATACCAAAAGTCCCCATATTCTTCGCGTTCCTAGCACAACTTGGCCAATCTGGAGGATCCAGTAAGTGTCAAAGGAATTGGCATTCCCCTCATCCCGAATTAACAAATTCCAGTGATTTTCTGGGTGAAGAGCTACAATGTTTCCGGAAAACCTCCAGTGTTTTCAGTTGCCGAAATCAACATCATTCCTCTCGGCGTGAGTCCGACTATATGTAGTTGATATTGTGCTTGGCTGAGATCTGATTCAGATAAACATCATCTCAATCGTTTGCACCCTCATCAATTCATGGGTTTCCGACAGTCTTCCCGGATCAGCTCGATGGCCGGGCATGGTGTTTGCCAGCGTCATGGCTATCATTTTCCCCATCGCCCTTGCCGCGACTCCCGTGCATCCACCGAATATTGGCAGTCGCTGGGCTCTTTACTGTAAGGCCTTAGATTCATACTAATTCTTCACTACCGAAAATGATTGCTAACTATCATTCTCAGATCTAACCGCTCTCTCCGGCACGTGTGCCGGAATCACCTGGACCTGGGTGAACGAGACCAGCAGACATGATCCAGAAAAGCGAGCGTACACCTCTGCCTTGGTGAGTGATTCTACCTAACATCAACTCATCCCCTCTTCTCAGTGGGCCGAAGCTAACACGTGGATGTTCGTTGTCAGATGAACGCTTTCGCCTACATCTTTACGGCATGGGTCCCAATCTTCACATTTCCAGCAAACCTCCAGCCTTACATCGTGACCGGAAACTACATTACCGCTGGTTTCGGGGCATGCGCGGCCCTGACAGCGCTCCTGATTCGGCATTTCTACAACCGAGATCTCGCTAGGCAAAAGCCTGTTGGTGGAGGAGTGTAGACACTTGGTGCTGCATTTTGCGATGAATATTAGCGGATTCCAGACATCAGACAACAGATGTTTTTGAGGTGTGATGAGTACCTAATTATCGAATGGATGGGTCGATCAAAGTATGACCAGCTATCAGAACCTGGAAGTCTTCAACTCATTTCGGTCACTGAGTTCCAGGTCAAGGTTAGTTCTGGGACAACGCAGTGATGTAGAAATTATCAGCCTAGAGAGACACGACAAAAATATGATCTCCCTGACAAAACATTTTTGGCTTGAGCTCGACAGTCCATGTGTAAGCGCCATTGTTGTTCTTGGTCATGAGACGTCGAGTTGCTGTCGGGTGTTCTGACCGCAACGTGCCCCCTGTAACTAGGCCCTGCAATGCGTGTGCTTTAGCTGTGCGCTACGCTAGCCCAATCCATCACAGCGCATCGGCGTAGGTATCTCATAACTGTGCGGAGGAACACAACACCGTAGTCAACAGCGCGTGTCTTGCCAACTGGATTGGATATACTTCCATTTGAGGAGCCCAACAAAAGCCTCTGAACTTCACTAACCAACAGAAATTCAGCCGCTGCTTTGGTGGAGACGATCAATTGGTTTTATTACCCAATAAGGAAATTCGGCCAGCTGTCCCCTCCAGACAACAACAACATCATCACCATCACCGTTTGCTCCGTTCCCATCCATTCAATCTATATAAAGAAGCCCATCGCTCATCGCATTTCATCTTGATTTGTTGTTTCTTCATCTTTCTCCCTCTTAACCACATATCCAACCACCATGGTTCCCCCGGTTCGCACAGAGAAGAATGAAAAGGCGGTGGCCTATGCCAAATCCCTGACCCACGTCCCCTGGTGCGATGACTACGAGAAGATGATCTCCGGAATGCTCTACAGCTGCATGGCACCCGAGCTGGTTCACGCCCGGAACCGAGCACGTCGCATGGCTCAGAAGTTCAACACCTATGTCCCCGATGAGGAGGCCACGGCGGAACAAGTCGCCGACAAGAGGGTTGCCATGATCAAGGAGCTGTTCGGCAAGGTGGGCGAAGACATTTACCTTGAGCCGAGCTTGCAAGTAGACTACGGCTGCAACATCACCATAGGAGACCGGTTCTATGCCAACTTCAAGTAAGATCTCGCGTCCTCCCGAATTAGCCGCAGTGCTTTTCCCTGACATTGTTTAGCACTGTCATCCTGGACTGCGCACACGTCACCATTGGCGATCGCGTTATGTTCGCTACCGGCGTGAGCTTAATCACGGCAACGCATGAGACTAGCCTGCAGTCCCGGAGAGACAACATTGAGTATGCGGAGCCGATCACCATCGAGGATGACTGTTGGCTGGGAGCCAATGTTACGGTGCTTCCTGGAGTTACGATTGGCAAGGGCTGTACCATCGGTGCCGGAGCGGTTGTGAATAAGGATGTTCCTCCTTATTCAGTTGCTGTTGGAGTGCCAGCCAAGGTGGTCGGTAAAGTAGATCCGATAGATTAATTGTTCATTAGAGAGACGAAGATGTACATAACAATAGCATTGGTTTACTCACAAACTCATTTGACCTGGTGATCTGATGCTCTCTGCCGGATTCACGTGATTGAACTCCAGTAGGGACGGTCTCTTTGAAACTCGAATAGACACTACTGAAGGCCTTGTACTATCGTCACATTGCCTTGAATAGAGGATGAGCCTTCAGCGGCTTACCTAGCTTGCAATATTTTAGATCAGAGATCATCTCGATCAGTCCTTCTTATATGGCAACAGCGATTCCCATCTCTCGTGATGTCTCAAGGACCCTGCCCGCCTTCAGTGGCACGAGGCTTTTGTCCAGTCCATGAGTAGTAAGTTCCGTACGCATGAACCTCGGGGTCCCTGATCGCTTTGCGGACCAAGGCAAGGAAGACCTCAATCTCCGTCCGCTCCATGCCCAAAGCCGCCAAAGGCTTACTCGCCGCCGCACCCAGGAAGTCCTCAGTCACGGTTCGCATGTACATGCCCACCAAGCGCAAGGTCTTGTCCTTGGGCCAAGTCCCGACAGGGACCTTGTACGACTTCTTCTGCACATTGACGAAGCCTGCCTCCTCCATGATTTTACCTATGCGAGGTCCCACCTGTATATCGATGTTGAGCTTCGACATGGCCTGGCGGATCTTCTCCCAGAACTGCAAGAGGTACCAGTCCTCAGGCATTGTGCCGTCATCACAGGCGACGTTGGCGCTGAAATCCTGAGTCTCGACCCACGCACCAGGCTTGAGATTGCTATGAGGGAGCATTTAGCATCATAGAAAGGCGTGGGGAGCTAGGACTTTTGCATGCTTACGCATAGACACGTTCAAGTAGCTTGGGCAGGTCATGGACTAGAGATGCGAGGTTCCGCATATGGATGAAGTCAAAGTTGTCGCCAGACTGAGCACAATCAGCAACAGAGACTTGGACAGTTTGTATAGGAATCTTACAAGCCATTCGTCCTCGACGTCATCGACGATGAAGTGGACATTTGGGGGTACCCTTGAGAATGTTAGAGGGAGGGCTGACGCAGAGATTGAATTCATGTACATACCAGTCCGATTGAATGGGAGACAAGTCTAAGCCTGCAACTGGGCGAAAAAAAAGAGTGCACACCCCTCGTACCTCAACAGCCTGTTTAGCCAGAGTGACCACGACTCTATTGAGAGAAATATTATAATAGAGGATTCAAATTAATCCTAAAAATAAGAGCTACTTTCTAATTATTTTTTCGTTTATTTCAGTTAATTAAGGATCGAATAAGCGCTCTAGGAAGCTTAGTGTAAATGGTAGGGTATGCGCAGAATTTCTTCGCCCAGTTGGCCTGTCACTTCTGCGGAGGGATAGAGATCTCCAACTAGATAGCAGAGAGCCTATCAATTTATGCCTGTCTTATGGCACATTATATGACAGAGTTGCCCGTAAGACGTACCTTCTATCGCCCAGGTACCTATAAATCTGTAAATACACGTTCGTATTCTCAAGACAAGTTTTATGGGGTCGGGCTCACCAACTCCGGTTCCTAGATCCAGAATCTTCCCAGGTGTTTCTCCAATCGGTGCATGGAAGAGTTTCCCGTCGGTTAATTCCATGACCATGGCGTGCTTCATGTCCTCACGGTTCTGTTCAACATCGTCGTTTGGGATGGGATACTTCCCGTCCCGATAGTAGTGGTACCTAAACCTTGTGAACAAAGCCACGATGGTGTTTTTTCGGTATCCATTTCTTACCGTCTTCCGTTGGCGTAAGCATGCTGCAAGATGGATGACGTAACAGAAGCCGATCCAGAGGAGGACGATTCCCATTCCTGGGGTTCGAACTCGTCCTCACTCTGGCCAGCATCACCCGCCTCGATCGGTTCCGGGGGAGCTTGTTCGGTGGTGTCTGCCATTTTCGAAATTCAATACTGTGATATCAGAACTGCTTGACTTGATCAGCTGCGTCATGCATCGTGCTGGAGCCTCTGCGCGTGGATCTTGGGTGGGAGCAACGCTAGCAATCGAGGGGCGGGGAAGTTGAAAACGTCCAGCCAGTCCGTCGCTGTCACCGCGATGGGGCGCGCTGTGATTGGTGGAGACTGAAATAATATGCCTCAAAGAGTCGTCCGAATCATATCTCGTGGCGATAAGAGTCTAGACATTTATCCCTATCTTAGTGTCTTCGATCGAGAGAGAAGCCAATGATAGTCTCCCTTGCGCAATCACCCACGGGACCGCCCTTGATCCATACCTACCTTGAATGACCTAGAATGATGATCAAGCAAAAATGCCTTCCCGCCGAGCTGGCTGTATGCAGTTGCTCGGACTTGTCAAATGATACAGGATGCGGTCAAGGATGATTAATTGGGTAGATAGGATTGGTATTTGGTGATGATCGCCTCCAGTCTAATGCCTAAAATTACACGAGGGACAAATCCCTGGTCATGACACGCTCAACTATGCTGCCCGGTTCTTCGTGCCCAAACTTTACAATTGCCCAGAATATCAAGCTTACTCCTTGCCAAGTGCACGCAGACGGACGTAACAATCTTTGGGCTTAAACGTGAGGCCCTCCTTTGCGGCATACCCAGACAGCTCATCTGAACAACGCAGGAGCTCAAAGTTCCACACAATCAGCGTCACGATAATCCTCAGCTCCAGGTATGCGAGCCTGCGTCCAAAACATCCGCGCGTGCCGAGGCCGAAAGCAAGCTGAGGGCCAGCCTGCTGGTCAAACTCGCCGTCGACAAGCCAGCGGTCAGGCTTGAACTGGTCGACGTCGTCATCGTCCCAGACGCGCGCCTTCGCGGCGAGACTGGATTTGCTGCGCTTGGAGTCGTCGACCGGGATCGCGGGCTTCATCATGCTGGGTCCCTTGCCGAGCATCATCACGACGGTGCCTTTCGGGATGTGGTGCCCCAGGAGCTCGGTGTCGCAGGTGGCTTCGCGGTCGATCAGCGGGGCGGCGCCGCCGCAGCGGAGGATCTCTTCCATCGTGGCGTCCAGGTAGTGGATCTTGGTGCTCGTGATCTCCTTGATGCTGGGGCTGCGGCTCTCAGCTGCGGCGTCGGCGAAGCCGGCTCGGAGAGCGTCGCGGAGCTTTGTCTGCCAGTCGGGGTTGTCTGCTAGGAGCTTGACGCCCCAGCACATGGTGGTGCTAGTTGTATCGTGGCCTGCGATGACTACGCCGAAAACCTGTGGAGAGGTTAGCACGTGAACGGAGGTAGTGATCGTGAAAGAAGGGAGTACTCACCTCGTCAATCATTATAGGGCTGAAGTAGTCGGGCTGTCTGCCCTCGTTCTCTGCCATCTTCTTCTCTCTGAGCACAACCAGCTCGACAGCGGACAAAACCTTCGTCTCCTCCACGTTGCCACTCTCCTTGAGGCGTTGCAGCGCTTTGGCTATCTCCTCCTTGACGTACGCCTGCTTGATAGCCATACCCTTAACAATCTCTGGTCTCCTCTTGACAAACCACCACTTGATCCTGGGAATCGGTGATCCCAACAGATGCTCGATGGCGCCGGCCAAATCCAAAGTTCCCGTGATCTTCTCGTCACATTCTCCGTAAGGGAAGTCCATGGGCTTGTTGCCGGAGGTGGAAGCGTTTCGAAGTCGTTCAATATCTTCGGCCTTGAGACTCTCCACGGCTTCCAGCGAGGGCTGGATGGCGCTGATGGGGAAGTTGCCGCCAAAGGTGAAGGCATTCACGGCGTCCAGGGCTCCATAGTAGATGTCCAACTCAGCGGGGAAGGGCCGTCCGTCAGCCATCCGAGTCTTGTCGTTCCAGAGGTCGATGAGTCTCTGCACGCCCGCATACACAGCAGGGCCGGCAACTTCGTTGAGGAAACCCGGGGACATGAGGTCCTGCAAAAGCCTTCGGTGCCGCTTCCATTCGCTGTCCGTCTTCAGATGGATGTGGTGGTCCGGCGCACTGCTCTCCAAGAGATCGGCCGTCGCACGCGATCTGTCGAATTCTTTGCGCCGCATGAGGATGTCCTGCGCCTCTCGGAAGTCGCACAGGACCAACGTGGGCCGGTCAAGAGGACGGATGAAGACCTGGAAGAGCGGCGAGCCGAACTTTGCCGCCTGCTCCTGCAGCCAGAGGTTGAACTCTCCGGTGCGCTTGATGCCTTCCATCAGGGAGGGGATGTCTCCCAAGACGCTTTTTGTGGCGCTCACATTGTGCGGGATGTTGGATATCGGCTTGGGCAGGGCCCATCGGTAAAAGGCGTAGATGAGCACTACGGCCGCGATAGAGAGAAGGGCGTATGGCTTTGCGAGAAGGCTCGCGTCGGTTGAGCCAGAAGGCACGCTGATGCCTGGCATCGTGATGTCTGTGTGAGGTCGAAATTCCCGCGATGCGTGACGTCAAAGAGGGTTTCGGACTCTGCCAGCGAGCGGCACGGTGCTTTTTAAATCATCAACACGCGCGAGGGTTTGAGAGGTAGTCGGACATCTAGACGGAGCATCGGGCTGGACCATTCGTCCGTTTTCTAGATGAAGTTTAAGGGTCCGGTGGGAGAAGCATGGGGCAGTTCGCAGCTCGTCAGGCTCTCCGCGGGCGGGCAACCGGCAGAAACCCACAAGAGTTTGGTGAAGCCGCCACGGGAGCAGAGTGGGACACGAACGTCTTACCAGACGCGGCAATTCACTCGTCGCAGAAAATTGATGTGAGTAGGGATGACCCCCGTATGTGAGCCGTGTGGCCCCCGCGAGGCCCCGCCTGCGTCTACCAGGCTTTATTGTGCCATATTCACTGGGGAGCAAAATCTCTAAGAATGGACGAATGATATCGATCGAAACGGAAGGCTCCAGATTGTGTGCTCTATCTGCCATGAGCGGGCGTCCGCCGGACTGATGTTTGGTCTCGGTTCCGTTTGTACGGGAGAGCGGCTGAACACCGGACTCTTCTTGGTTCATCCTGTTAGATTGGAAACGGGCCAATCAGAGTCACTGGAAATGCGTAACTAGTCAGTTCTTTGAAGCGCGATGAATGAGGTGGGTTTGTTCCGACCGGATTTGTGTCTCTGCCACTCTGGTAGCTGAGAGTGATTATCGCGGTTTCGTCAAGAAGCCCAGGCCCCATGTGCCTGATGTCACCTAGTCCACTCCCGGCAGAGGCCCTTGCTTTTTGTGAGATGCCAGGCGATACACAAGCAAACAAGCGGTCAGCCCAGTGCCAAACGTGGCGACGGCGTCGAGGCCGTATCCAGTTTGAGGTGCATTCGCGATGCAAAACCGGACGCTTATGCAGACCTCACGCGATGTCATCTCTGAAATCTTGAGCTAAATGAGATCCGCAGATAGACACGATGTTAAGCGATCGGCAACATAGAGTGAGACGCCGGAGACATTTGTTCGTATTTGGTTAGTCTTGGGTTGGCTAGCAGGGGCCACGGCAGATTTGAATTGCGGCAAAAAATGAGACGAGTCACGGTGCACAACTTTCGGCAAGCGACATCAGATGGAAAAAAAACAAAAAAATATCAAAAGATAGAACCCATGGTGGATTTAAACCACTGAATCTCCCCGAGGTGGGCTCGAACCACCAACCTCCAGATTAACAGTCTGACGCGCTAGCCAATTGTGCCATCGGGGATGAGCTCCGAATGAGCTGAACAGGTTGTTGACGTCGCAGCGACTGAGAACATGTTATGAACCTTTGGGTTCCTTTTGGGCGGCTGTGCGGCAATCATGAACCCTAGAGTGTGGGCCGCAGACGTCGGTAGTGAATGTGGATGTGACTGTTTCTGACCAAAGAACGCGAGTAATTCGTCACCAAACTCCTGACAGGCGGACACCACAGGGGCTTTGCTCCGCTGTATTTCGAACCGAGGACTCAACCCCTTCTGCAATCTCGATTGATTTCTGCAGGAAGATGTGCACTGGAGGGTTTGGTTGAAGTCTACGTCTTGACTATTCACCATATATGTTTTCAAACGAGTCTGCAGTAGACAACTATGGTGATTTTAATCGTGCCTTGGAGATAAGCCTCGGTATCCAATGTCCAAGAATATGGTTTATTTCAACGCTTAGGCACGGACTTGGCAGTGAGAATTCTACACAGCAGCAGCCCATGATAAGTATTCCGTTAAAACTTCTCACCGCCCAATCCCTTCAAGTCATCTTCAGCGTTCTGAACTTCCGGTACAATAGTCTTTGCAAAAGCAGAAGACTTGATCCGTGATTCAAACAGAAAGTCAAGATCGGCGTGGGTTCTTCCCTTGGTCTCAGGAATCTCCAGCCACGACACAAAGAGCACCAAGATGCTTGTACCCGCAAAGAAGAACCCAATCTTACCTCCCCAATTCGCCTCGTCTGGATTGTAAAGATACGGCGTAAAGAAGCTGAAGATCCAGGCTGCAATAGATTGCGCGGCAAGGCCGATGCCGGCGGACTTGGACCGGAGCCGGACGCAGGAGACCTCGGAAGCAATAACCGGAACTGCGCTGGCGACGCCGAAGCTGTTGAAGAACCCGAAAAGAAGAAGGGCGACTCCAACGAACCTACAAATGGTATTAGTCACGAGCTAACGTCAAGAGAATATCCTCCAAAACTCACCATCCAGCCGCAGAGGTGTTGAAACAGGCGGCAATACCCATAGCAGCCCAAGAAAAGATATCGAGGACGATGCTGATCAGAATCATTGTTCTTCTGCCAAACCTCGGCACTGTGTACCACGAGATCATGTTCGCAACCATATTCGAGGCGACGCCGATGAGGTTGACCATGAGTGAGTACTTGGCGGACATGCCAGCCATGGTAAGGAAATAAGCCCCGTTCTGCAGCAGCGCCATGCCGACGAACTGCTGGAGGATGTTGAGGAAGATTATGATGCGTGTACGGCGCAGATTGACGCCCTGGAAGCATTCGCGATAGGTTGGGGGACCTCTGCCCTGGGCCGTGTCATCG